CTCTCGCCCATAATGAGTGGGTGACACCCTCCAGAAAAAGATTTTGGAGAAGCTCTCTAGGAAATTCTTTCCATTTTGTCTCCCCAGTTAGTAATGAAGGAGAGAGGCAAAGATGCTTTTCTCCATCCTCACATATTGCTGCAAGGATGAAGTGTGTCTCTGACTTTTTAAACCTTGAAACCTATGGAAACCCTGAGACAGGATCCAATGAACAAGGGTTGAACTCTCTGAGCTACCAGCTTCACCAGGCCCTCTCTCCAAACCTTTGGAGTCCTCCTTCCTCTTCTGGTGGGGCTCTAGGGAAAATGGCCACAGAAAAGCGATTTTAGGAGACAATGAATCCTGCGTCATTTTTAGAACTGACAAAGGATTTGGTGGTCTCAGATCAGGCCTTTCAGTTTGGAGAAGACAAGGACAGCAGGGAAGCCCGCGGGACCATTGGGGTGGAGCAAATAAGATTTCTCCTTCTCCTTCTTTAAAACCTTCAAGATGTTTGAAATTGAAAATAAGAAATGCCCCAGCTGGAATGGTACAACTGTTTATAATACCATTTATTTCCTTTCCTTTCTCCATTTTGAACTCCTGTCTTTGGTAATGCATCTCTCTCTCTCTCTTTCATCTTTCTCTCTCTTTTTCTCATCTCTCTCACTTTCTCATTCTCTCTCTCTTTTTCATCTTTCTCTCTCTCTCTTTCTCCTCTCTCTTTCTCTCTCTTTTTCTTTCTTTCTCTCTTTCATCTTTCTCTCTCTTTCTCATCTCTCCCTCCTCTCTCTCTTTCATCTTTCTCTCTCTCTTTCTCATCTCTCTTTCTCTCTCTCTTTCATCTTTCTCTGTCTCTTTCTCATCTCTCTCTCTCTTTCTCATCTCTCTCTCTCTCTCTTTCACATCTCTCTCTCTTTCTCTCTCTTTCTTTCTCATCTCTCTCTTTCTCTCTCTCTTTCTCTCTCTCGTTCATCTTTCTCTCATCTTTCTTTCTCTTTCTCTCTCTCATTCATCTTTCTCTCTCTCTCTCTCTCTTTATTCTGCAAATCATAAATTTTCTCCCATTGAAGCCTACACAACCTTGTTGCCTGTACCCCTGAAGATTTTCAGAATGTCCCGTTTTTTTCCCTTACAGTTGAGGGAGGCTTTGGGTGGGTCCTGAGTGAACCAGCCACACTAATCTGACTCAAGACATGATTTAAAGTCGGATCAATCTCCCCTCTCCCTTCCTTTTGTTGCAGATGACTCTTTGCTTTGGAAGGACGGTAAAGGCCACAGGAACCCCTAAATTTCAATCTCCCCTTGCAGGTCCACTGGCTGGATGGGGCATGAGAAGTTCAACACAATCAACGCAGCCAGCATTAATTTGACTCCTAGCATTTGCTTGACCCCTTAAATCAAACTGGACAGAAGTGTCCATAAAGGCCTCTGGAGCATTTTTGCCTTTGGCATAATTAAGTTTTCTACAGCATGGAATCCTTGAGAAATAAGTACATGTTGTATTTGACATTTGGCTGGGAGGCATTCGGCTTAGCAATTAGACTGTCATGGAGAGAGCTCTTATTCTCTTCTTGGATGGGAGATTCCACCTTCACTTTCCTATGTGGTTGTATTGTCCAGTCCTGTATTTATCCAAATTGATCACACATTTATAAACACAGACTGAATTGTGCTCAAGCTCAATTTTCTCATCATTTTCACAGAGGGTTGATTGTTTGATGTGTTATCCTTTCATCTTGGAGTGCCCAATTCCCCCCCCCCCAAACAAATTGCTGATCAAAAAGAATTTGGTGGGATTTCATTTTCCTCCCTGCAAATAAGTGCCACCACACCAAGAGTAAGTGCATGTTAAAACAAATTGGGAGGAAAAAATAGAGAATATTTTTGTCACCTGCAATATTTTAGGATTCCCCTTCTACTTTCTAGCTTCTGAACCATTGTAGCTAGAAGGCAACAAAAAGGAGACACAAGAGGGATTTGGTTCTAGATTGTAGAGAAATATTCTTCATCTGGAAAAGTCTATTTCTTAGATTTTCCTCTACAAAGACTATAATTTATCTAGATATGTAATGCCTGATCCAAGCATTGCAATGTTAAGTTTATCTCTGCTTCCTTCAGGTTTTGCGATCCATTGAAAAGCTCTAGAGGAAACTCAAAATGCCAATCCGAGAGAAGATCACAGCAAAGAAAGAAAATGGCGCCCAAAGCCAAGATGAGATGGTGAGGGAATGGAAAGAGGCATCAGAATGGAAGTTGCATTTGGAGGGGTGGGGATGGGGGAATTTCCATTGGGGTGGAGAAGAGCTTAGATCAAGGATGTCCAACCTTGGCAACTTCAAGACTTGTGGACTTCAACTCCCAGAATTCCCCAGCTAGCATTATTGGAATGAAGTCCACATGTTTTAAAGTTGCCATGGTTGGACAACCCTGGTTTAGAGGAACAGATATCAAAGTGTTCCTCTACATGGATGAAATAAGTGAAGCTGCCTTTAAAAATTGAACAATTCACTTCACTTGGAAAACAAATTAGAATGAATGCTCAGGTAGAAGGATTGTCAATTAAGATTAAGATTATGGATGTACTGAACAATTCTATAGATGTTTACCTAGAAATCAGCTAATATCCCCCTTCCCATTTACACACACACACACACACCAAAAAGCAAAAGAAGGAAAGAAGGTAACCAAGACTTTTAGATCATCAACCATAACATTTCAAGGTCAAAGACAAAGGACATGAGTTCTTTCTGGACTGAAAGAAATGCTCAGGATGTCCCTTCTTCACAAATCTTCTCAAAGCATAAAAGTTTTGGCTTCAGTCGTCCCCTTCTCCTTTCATCTTCCATCTTTCCCAACTTTAGGGTCTTCTCCAGGGAATCCTCTCTTCTCATTCAGTGGCTGAAGTATTTGAGCTTCAGCTTCAGGATCTGTCCTTCCAAAGGACAGTTAAGGTTGACTTCTTTTAGGATTGACTGATTTGATTTCCTTGAAGTTCAAGGGACACTCAAAAGTCTTATCCAATGCAAGGGTTTATTATCTGTAGCAAATTACATCTTCTATGCAAGATATTTCCCAACATATAATAATATTGTACTAGAAAGAACCTGAAAGAAAATGTGTGGTAGGTTAGAATATCAAGGCAGAAGTTCAATTACAAAAAATAGTTTTGTAAAACAAAATGGCATGGGAATATTCCGTGACTAATGGCTTGGACTCTTTTTCATTAGGTACTGCCCAAGCTCCCAGTTCCCTCCCTCCAGCAAACATTAGATAGGTACCTTCAGTGCATGAAACATCTGGTGACTGATGAACAATATAAGAAAACCAAGACTCTTGTGGAGAAGTTTGGGGCACCAGGAGGCCAGGGAGAATTCCTTCAGAAGAAGCTTCTTGAAAGACATGAACAAATGGAAAACTGGGTAAGTCTTCTGCCCTTCAACTTCAAATATGTATGTTCATCATAGAACATGTGAAAAGAGCTAGAATCACACTGGGGTCCATGCTTCTTTCCCCTTTATTCCCTCCACCAAGGAATTGATTGAGGTGCTCGGATATCACAGAGACATTATCAGCACAGACAAATGTTTATTAACAGACTTCCTTTTTTGAAGACAATGGGAGATAAACATTGAAGGGAAAAATGACTATAGACCTGCAGTCATCAGAGAACATTAATATTAAAATCGAGTTCCAGTTTGGGTAAGGCACCAAGCTAGAAAGCAAGAGAGGGCGAGTTCTAGTCCCATGATGGTGGGACTAGTTAACTAGGAAGTGAGTTCTAGTTAACCATGAAAGCCAGATGGATGACTTTGGCCAATCACTCTCTCTTAGCCCAAACCATCTCACAGGGTGATTATTGTGGGAAAATAGGAAGAGGAAACTGTATTGGAAATGTTCATCATGTTGCGTTATTTATGAAAATAATAAAGGCGGGGCACAAATAAATTTTAAACAATAGAAAGAAAAAGGCACTTATGGTAAAAGACCATGTTCTCTCTCCCTCCCTCCCTCTCTCTTTCTCTTTCTCTCTCTCCCTCTCTCTCAGGTATTGCAATACTGGCTAGATGACATGTATCTTAATAACCGATCAGCTCTTCCCATCAATTCTAGCCCAGGAATTATCTTTGCTTGCCAACAATTCCAAGAAGCAGATGATCAATTGAGGTAAAGTATCTGAAGACTCACCAAAGACCACAAAGATTCTGTTCTGGCCACATCTGTAGCACTTTATGACCAACAGCTGTCCAAATGATGCACAGGAAGGTCATAAATATATTTATTTATTTTTATTCCAGCTCCACGGCCAATTTTGAATTTCTGTTTTGAGTCCTCCTCTTTTCTAAATGAAAGACTGCTAAAATGCATGTGAATTTAACCCACCATCCACAGATTTGCATTCAAAACCCTGATGAAATCTATCCTTTACTCCATACATAATTATTCTGTCTTAGAAAAAAAATTGAAGAACCGAAGTAGAGCTATCTAAACAAAAATGGTTTTCAGTGGCATCATCTCTAAGTTATTTCTTCATGTTTACAATCATTCTGGGCCTTTGGGTTTCTCTATGCACATCTGAACAGCAGAGTTTGGGAACTGGGGCTTCCCAATCAGGCCCATCCACCAGGAGGATGTGTCAAAAAAAGTCAAGATGGTAGCCACAACTCTCTGATTGTATCTCGACTCTTTTTCCCTGTATCCTAGTGCAACACAGGTTTTAAAAAGGACAAGGCTTCAAACTTCATGCTAAGGTTGTTCAGAAACTGACTTCTTGAAGCAACCATATTCCTAACCCTGGAAGTGTTCGCCTCCTCCTACTTACACAGAGAGTTTGAGATTGAGAGAGAGAATATGTACAGTGTTTACAACACAGGGAATATATACTGTGTTGTATATACTGTATATATGTTGGATAAACAGGCATATATGTTATAAACACAGGCTGTTTACCATATGGTCCTTTCCGCAGTCCCAAGAAGGCTCCACACCCATTTGCACTATTCAGATGACCCTGAGGGCACAGATAAATCTCCAAGTGGGCTCAACGACTCTCAGAAGGAGCACTAACAACCTGCAAGGAATATAAATCCTTCCATCCTCTACCATTCAGTTAGAACCATCCAAAGGGCCTTCATGCCAAATTGTTCAGCAAACTTCTGTAGAGATTCTCAGTCATCCAGATCATGGTTGTCCCAAAGGTGCTTTTTTCAGGAGGCAACTGGACTTTCTTGTTTTTCTTTGAAGACATTTCACTTCTCATCCAGGAAGCTTCTTCAGCTTTGTCAGGATAGTGGGGAATGGAAGGATTTATATTCCTTGCAGACAGCTGGTCCTTTGCATCCTTTTTAGAGAATTGTTGAGGCCACTTGGAGGTTTATCTGTGTCCTTAGAATCAAATGCAAATGACCAGCTGTCTGCAAGGAGTATAAATCCTTTCATTCCCAACCATCCTGTCAGAGCTGAAGAAGCTTCTTGGATAAGAAGCAAAACAACTTCAAAAGAAAAAAAAAAGTCCAGTTGCCTCTAGGGGGGAAAAAAAACACCTTTGGAACCACCATGACCTGGATGACTGAGAATCTCCATAGACAGAGAGAATATCAAATCCTCTTGTTCCAATCACTGTTTCAAGAATTGACCTCAATCGAAATGGACCCCTTCATTCATGGGACATTCATGGGTTTAACTTTCAAGTCCCCAGTGGCTCCTTCGTCTCTCTGCCTGACATCAGCCTACCAATTAAGCAAACTCTTTTTAATGCCAGCTCAGCTATAGCCCAGCCAGATTCTGGCCTGCCCCATTTAATTTTAAAAGGGTAAAGAATGTTAGGATGGTGCTTTGTGTTGCTTTAAATAAGCCTGTGTTGAAAATGGAAACAGCTTTTTCTTCCTTCACTCTCTTTTGGTTATTTTTCATATTTATTAGATAATTTATATCCCACCCCTCTGATTCATTTTCCATTGTCTGGAGACATTAGTCACAAGCAGCATCATAAAATCACAATTACATGTAAAATAAAAGCAATAAAAATAGATAAACTACAGACAGCTCCAGTAGATAAAAACAATGGAAATGAGTAGTTGTTATATGTATGAGTGTGTAAGTACACACACACACACAAACACACACATTGCCCTGCTTGTCAGAACAGATAAACAAATATCAAAAACAGAGATATTATGATATTTTCCACTAATGCTATAAACTGGAGGCTAAGGATCACATTTATCAAGAAAAACATATTCATTGTGTCTGCCCTTACCTATAGATTTGGAAATTAAAATGATCTGGGAAGATAAATTGGACTGGAAATGGCTTCTGCTACTTATGGCTTATTCCCCACCACCACGTAAAACAGTCTCTCGGACCCTCCTGTCTACCAAAGGCCCATTTCTCTTTTGCTTGAGTGATGCCACTGCCAGAGGGGATTGAAGACTCCATCAAATTGCAATGTCCGAGCAACTAAAACATTTGCCTTTTGGATTGTAGCTTGCTCAGAACTGTGGAATTAAAATAGACGTGCTTTGGTGAACCATTGGGGTTTTAAGCTAGCCATTTTTAAAACCTGAAGTGGGATCCGTATGAAGCACTAATGGAAAAGAAGGTTATTTTAATAGGACACAAATGGTTCCTAGAGATTTTCATATATTATGAGTATCATTGTAGGACGATTTGGATGAACGAACAATTTAGATAGTCTTCAGATATGTAGCAGTGAATCTAGGGCTAATTTTACATGCTTTGATATTCTGAAATTACCATCTCTAAATCCAAATTCTTATATTTAATGACTGCCAATCCAAGGATTAAAATATATTCCCATGATTTTGGAACAAAATTAAGTATTCATTAATACAGTGATGCCAAGAAAACCATTATCTTAAGGTTAAGGTGGAAACTAAAATAATTATCCAGAAATACATCCCATTGTTAACTTCCAGGTAAATATAATTAGCATTGCAGTCTTAACATTATAGATTAAGCAACATGGCACAATATATAGAAGTAACATAAGAAGCTATTTTATAACTGATCTATCCAGATCAATATTAGACTACAGGGTTTCTAGGAGTTATTGACATATTTGGAAGGCAGCAAGTTGAGGAAAAGATCTTTTCTTGTTTCTTGGGGGCTACAGAGAGGATTCTCTCTCAGATCTATTGAATCTCTCCCTCTCCAAACCAATTTTGTTGTATTTAAGAACAATGACAATAACGATTATACTTATACTTATTCTCTCTCTCTCTCTCTCCCTCCCTCCCTCTCCCTCTCCCCTATGCAATGTATTTTTCTGAGTATAAGACGCACCCTTTTCCCTCAAAAAAGATACTGAAAATCTAGGTGCCTCTTATACACTGAATACAGCATTATTTTTGCCTACTGAAACCCCGCCCCCTTCACCAAAATTGCTGTGCACAGCCTTTAGGAGCTTTGCCGAGTGCTCCTAGGGGCTGGGGAGGGCAGAAATGAGCAAGAAATGACCCATTTTTTGCTCAGTTTTGCCCCCCTGCCCCCAAGAACATGCCATTTGTTTGAAAAAAAACAAGCTTGTTTTCACAAAAAACGGACCGTTTTTGGGAGCTCTACAGAGTGTAAAAACTTTTTTTTAATTTGCCTCTTCAATACCTTGGTGTGTCTTATACCCCCCAAAATATGGTAAATTTTTCGGTATATTTTTCTAGCATATCCTGGCCATCCCTTAATTCTGTTCAATTAATAATATTGCCTACGAATTCAAATGTTGAAATAGGTACAAAATGTAATAGACAGCTTCTAATATTGTAAGAAACTTGACTGATCCCCCCAAAAAGAAGATTGATCTTAGTATTTGGAAGAAGTAGTTGCCACATCTTATCCTATCCATGTAGCCACCTCAAATCAAGACAAAATTAAAGGAGACTTTTCATTTTAAAATTTCCAAAGTTCCTTTAAAAAAAATGTTTTTAGATATATTTGTTATTTTTTATTACAACAAGGCTTCCCTGAATATAGGTCATATTAGATAGCATTTTCTAAAGTACAGAGGCAATTTGAAAATATTGAAATTCTGATTAAATGCCTTGATCGAGATTGTTCTGCTAATGGGATCATATGCTTCATCTCCTTTTACTTTGAGTGCAATCTAAGAATTCCAATGCTGGTGAAGTCTTGAAAGCCTTGTTTCTTATTTAGTCTGTCATGAGGCACAAGGACGACAGCTCTGCATATAACTTCCATTTCTATCTGAGTTGCATCTCAGCCTCCGCTTTTCAATTAGCCCTCCCTGAGTCCCATGTATGCTGGTTAAATCATTAGATCTGCAAATGTTGTTGACATGCAGAATGACATCCCTGACCAGAAGCTCTTCTTCAGAATCTTTAAAAAAAGTATTATCAGTGCTGGTTTTTCTATAAACTAAATAGCTTCATTGTGGCAGCTATTTTTTTTCCCCTGCTTTGCATCTGTTATTTGCACACATCCTGACCTGGAAAAGGCCTCAGCCTGCTGGAGTTCTATAGAGAAACCTTAAACTAGGAGGAGGAAACATAAAATGCTGTCCAGACACAATCTTGACCAGATATGAACTGCAATAAGACAATTTTAATTTAAAAATTGTTCAGAGAAAAACAGATAATGCATCCAAAATATCAGTCTGCACAGTACCATAAACTTAGCATTAGTAGTTAAGGCTAGTCTAAATGAAAGCTGGCTTGAAACAAACAATCCATGATCTTCCCAAAGGTGCTTTTTTAAGGAGATAATTGGACTTTCTTGCTTTTTCTTTTGAAGACTTTCGCTTCTCACCCAAGAAACTTCTTCCACTCTGACAGGATGATGGGGAATGGAAGGATTTATATTCCTTGCAGACAGCTAAGTCGTTTGCATCCTTTCAGAGGGTCATTGAAGGCTCTTGGAGGTTTATCTGTCTCCTCAGGATCACCTGAGTAGCATTCCTGGTTCCTGTGGTCTGCAATGTTTCCTCTGGAAATCCATTCCTACTCCCACACAATTCAAAGGGTCTTCATCCCAAATTGCATAGCTAAATTCTGTAGAGATTCTCAGTCATCCAGGTCATGGTTGTTCCAAAAGTTGGTTTTTCAGGAGACAACTGGGCTTTCTTGGGTTTTTTTTGAAGATGTTTCACTTCTCATCCAAGAAGCTTCTTCAGCACTGACAGGGGAATGTCAGAACTGAGGAATGGAAGGGTTTATATTCCATGCAGACAGCTGGTCATTTGCATCCTTTTAGAGGGTCGTTGAAGCATTTGGAGGTTTATCTATGTCCTCATGTGTCATGGGACAACCATGACCTAGATGACTGAGAATCTCTACAGCCTTTTAACCCATGATACTGTTTGCCTGTCTTCAGGAAAAAAGTAAGGCAAGATTAAAGATATTCTTTTGTAGGAAGAGTTTGTGAGGGAAAGAGAGGATTGGGAGCATTAAAATAGCTCTGTCCTGCTGCATTTTTGCTAAACCACAGGCATCTCCTGGCTGGCCCACCTCAAGGAGTAATGCAATTTGAAGAGGCTCAAGAAACTTAATTAAGAGACTTCCTTAATATATTGTTAAAACAATGGATTTATTGAAGACCTAGGATTCAATGAAGACCTAGGTTTGAATTCACACGCCATATCAGGAATCTAACCTACTTTGCAGCACAAATTAGCCGAGAATCTCATCCATTCCTTTTCAGAGGAGATTTAAAAATGGAAGTAATAAGATCAATTAATACTGATGAACAATCTATCAAGCTGCTCCTTGATTGTCAGATGGCAAAGGACCACCATGATAATTTGGTGATGATGACGACGATGATGATGATGATGACAATGATGTGTATATAATTTTTTGCTATAGAAATCCTATAGGGCTTCTATATTTTGACTTCTAGGTTTGCGGCCAATCTCATTTCTGGAGTTCTGGATTATAAAGCTCTGCTGGACAGGTAAGCCATTTGTCTCTTACAAATAGAATTCCTTCTTAAATGAGGAACAGAAACAAAAGGGGGCTGAGATCCGTTCATGCAGCAACAAAGTCACTCTCTCAAAGTAAACCATGTTTTGGGGAGAATTGTAGATGGAATTTAGATGTACCGCTTTTAGGGGCAAGTCCCATAAATTGTAAACAATTAACAAGATTACATCTGACTTCAGTCCCAGACTCTGGAACTGCTTGGAAAGAAGGCTGAAGATTAGAAGAGCTGAAAAGCACAAAAGGTGTTTCTAGGCACAGTGTATTTTCTCGGCAGGAACAACGTTGCTAAATGACATATCATCCCAGGGCTGAAGGCCATCCTCCCATCCTCCCATCCCTTTTTTTAAGAGGATGAAGGAAATTATAGAAGACACAACTGGAAGTACAATGACATTTCAGTTGAATGGAAATAAAAGATAAATGAAAAGCAAAGAATGTTCATTTGCCCTTGTCTCTACCCATTACTCCTGGAAGGATGTTCCAGTGGTCATGTTCAAAAGCCCAAGTGTGGTCCTCTTCAGCCCTGGAAAAGCTGTGCACCCCAGAATTATAGTTTGGCATCAAAAGGCAACAATTTCCAGTTCCTTGCAGGAAGGATTTATGAAATCCTGATGTTAAAACACTGAGCAGCCTAACAAAACTAGACCCGTGTGAGTGGAAATTAAGATATCGTTATGAATAGATATGATCATTTGCCAAAGCACAGAAGCTTTGTAGTCATTCCATTGAGGGCCAGTGTATGTTTATTAGCATTGCTGAACCAGACTGCACTTGTTGTGTCTTGTGTTGAGTGATCCTGTTGTGTTAGATTACACCTTAACTCAACAACACACTCCCTTCCATTCCTGCTTCAGATCTGTTCAATAAATCTTCTTCAATCCAGACTATGATAGGCTATTATCCAATTCAAATCATTCCATTCAGATCATCAATCTAAACAGTCAAAAATTTGACGAGAACTATTTGAAAATTGAATCATCTCCATAAAATAGATTTGATGTGATTTGAAAGATTGGATTGGGTTGATTTAATTTGTTGAAACAATCAGGGAGGGTCGGGGGGGCAGGGGGGGAGACGCTTTTACGTGCATGCAAAATCCTTGAATTTATTCAAATGCATCTTGAGTTATTCAACACTGGGATTCAACAGTTTGATTTGAGAGATTCTATCAAGTATTATTCTAATTGAAACTCGGGGGGGGGGGGGAGAACCTTTGTTCCAGAGAAGGCAGTGATAGGATATTTTGCCAAACAATTCATCAATTCTGCTGTTTCCATCTAGTTTAGCACAAGGTCTTTTACAAGTGTCTCCCGAGAACATTGCTTACAAAACATTATAATTATTAATTTTTCTACTGTCCTTAGAATGAGACATTAATATGATACTATAATTCAATTTTAGCATCTCAAGCTTCTCCCAAATTGTAGGCAATTAGACATCACATTGTCCTAGCAATTTTGCCTGCCCTTTAAAAAGGACTAAGTCCATCTAACATCTTCCTTGCCTCACCACCCCAAAAAAATACAATCATCTCTGGCGGAAGGAGCTCTGCCGTGCATGGCAACACACTCATATTTTTCTGTCTGAGATTTCAAAGTTCAGCAGAGCCTTACAAGACAGGAAGAAGTAGACATTTTTGGTCATTATTGACTATTACTGTGTTTTCTCCAATGCTCATTCATGAATGGTTATATGGTTGGAACATGGACATGTTAAGAATGATGGCTTTGGCATCCATCTACCAATACTTTGTTTTTATCTCTCTTGGTTCTAGTTGATCTGATCAGATTTCTTTTCTTTCTACCCTCACACACAGACGTTATGTTTTGTCTCTTATTCTGTCCCTCCAGCCATGCGCTCCCTGTGGATTTCGCTCGTGGACAACTGTCCGGTCACCCTCTTTGTATGAAACAATACTACGGACTCTTCTCTTCTTATCGTCTTCCAGGACTTACCAAGGACACCCTCGTGTCCCAGAAAAGCAATATTATGCCTGAACCAGATCATATCATTGTTGCTTGCAACAATCAGGTGGGGGCATCTGAATCCTACGTTGTTGTTGTTTTTTTTTAAAAAAAATCTACCCTCACCCACTTTTCTTGAATTGATCAAGACCGTATGCAAATTCAGGTTATGGGAGTTTTGCCTCATTTGGGGGATCATTAGATATGTGAACTTCAGGTTCCAGCATTCACCAACCAATGCAGCCAGTGCTGAGAATTTGGGGGATTGAAGTCCATAGAGCTGGAATTTTTAAAAAATGCCTGAAAACAAAATCCATAAGTGTCAGGTCCCATATGTTTCTATTGGGACGCTGGCAGTCTGGTGGGAGGGGAGAGGATTGGAGGGATCTCTGTCTGAAGTTTCTGTTTCCTGCATCGCTGTGCTGTGGGGGGGGGGAGGGAGTTGTTTGCACTGTTTTTAAATTTGCTGTTTGTTAAGTGGGAAGATTTAGTTCCTGCCTAGACCTCTTGCTATCACAAGTCTTTCAATAAAAGCTCCTTTTGGAACAACTGCAGTTTCAAGAGCCCTGTTTTCTTGGGAAGCTCCGGGAGGCAAGAACTTACAAACAGCTTGAGAAGAAGAAATAAAAAAGATAGTGAAAAGTTTGTTCCAAATGAATGCCTCCTTTTTCTCAGTGGACTTTTGACCATCAAAGCAAAACTGAAGATACTCTTGGTGATTGGAGTCACAATCAAGAACCTGAGGACCTCACAGACTGAGACTGAAATTGGCAGATTTTCTGTGTGTTTCCTTTTTTCCCAAAGAAAGCTACAATTTTTTTCTTTTTTTGTTAGTAATTTTTAATTATATTTACCAACCAACTTTTCTCAAAGATTTTGACACATAGTGCATGAGGAAAATAAGGTAGACATTACTGTGGAGTACATTAAACAGGTGTATCTCCACAACTACAATCCTACAAGGTAAAATGTATTGTGCTAAAGTGACTAACCCATTCACCCAATGAGTCTGTGATCTAGTGAAGATTTTAGTCTGGGTCTTCTAATTCCAACTCCCCTAAACACTGGATTTTACCAGCTATTTTAAATTTCTACTCTAATTGGTTCTGTTATCCACCAAAACAAAGGGAAACAGCGCTGGCGATTTTTGACTAGTTATAATCGAAATTAGTGGAGCCGGACAGCACCATAGGACTTTTAAAAAGGGATCAAAAAGTTATTTACTTCTACTCTATATTATGGTGAATCCACATCTCAGAAGCCTCAAAATGGCAGCCGTGATCATGTGATAGGAGCCCCACCCCTTTTTATACGCTCGACATGTACAAACAAAATAAAAAAGGTGACACTTTGTATGGTTGTAGCCACCATTTTTACTTTTTTTGATATCCACCACCCACACACACACCCCACTGTAAAACAACGTCTTGGAATTAAAAGTCTAGCTGGCCGATGTGTGGCACAAACATGCCTCGTTCAATTTTGCTTTGGCCCCTTCTGAATGCGTTTGTTAATGCTCAGAGGCTGGTGATGGGGAGGGGGCAGACTGTGAGTGGGCCAAGCAGGAAGGAGTTGTGAATGGCCTCCAAGAGGACATCAGCAAGGGAAGAATGGCCTTCGGGCAGCAGCCGTTGTCCCTTGATTCAAAGATGAAACCATCCTCCTCTTTTCATTCCTGATTCTTTCTCCGCAGTTTTTTGTTTTGGACGTGGTGATTAATTTCCGGCGTCTCAGTGAAGGAGACCTTTTCACTCAGTTACGGAAGATAGTTAAGATGTCAGAAAGCGAGGAAGAGAGACTGCCTCCAATTGGTCTCCTGACCTCAGATGGAAGGCTGGAGTGGGCCACCGCCAGGGCGATCCTCATGGAAGGTCAGTGAGAGCCACCTGGGAGTCCCACCCAATCCCCATCATCCAGTTCTTTGGCAGAGTTGCCCTCAACAGTGGTTGTCCCCTTTCTAGCCTTTTTCCATTCCCCTTTTCTTTTTCCCTTTGCCCTGGGGACTTCTTGCACTGCCTACAGTCTAATAATAACAGTAATAATAACAACAATAGTAATAACAATAGCAATAACACTAGTAATAATAACCCAATAAGCCCGTCTTACTTATTCCTTTTAACTTGTCAAGAAGTCTGGGAATCCTACAGAGTAACACTCCAATCATTCTTAGCAGGTGGTATATTTTAATTCTCCACCACATCTGAACCCAGATTAAAATCATATCCAGGTTTAATTTTGGGGACAATATCAAAAAAGCCCAATTTCAAAGGAGCCTGCCCACCTATTATGTCTTCTTTAAAAAAAACATCCATCTAGGCCTTGTTTCCACATTACAAAAACTGAAATGAGGTTGCTGAAAGTTCTCCCCTTCTGTGGGCTCAGAGGGTCCTCCTACCCAAGTAGACCCATCTCATCCCAGACAAGAGAGATCTCTGGTCCCATCTAAAAAGACACTTCTTATTTTCATAAATTTTAATGCTCACATTTCCTATTGTGAGCCTATTGAGGTAAGGAATTTGCTCATGAAATTCTGAGAGGTGGAACAAGTTTCAAGGCTTCCTTAGGCAAAGATTAGATTACCAGTAGAAGAGAATTTCTGTAACTCAGGGTTGAACTGTGGAATCCTTGGTGGTCTCTGAGCTTGGTGACTTTCTTGCAAACATTGACCTAGTTGGGCAACATCATCAGTGCTTGGGTGTGCAAATCCCATTCCCTTTTCACATGGATGATGTCACCTAGTCAGGTAATGAAATGTGTGCAAGGAAACATCCAAGCTCAGAGAGCATCAAGGACCCCACAAAGATTAGATTGTAAGACTATCTAATATCCAGTTTTAATGATTTTATTTCAGATGTCGATCTCATAAAATGCATACGACTACACCTCCAGGCGTAAGTCCATCAAGTTACCAAAGAGATCTGGTGCTTTCCAGGTTCAGCAGATAAATTTGTAGAGGGAAGTCAATCAAAGTGCTTTGAGAGCTAATTTCCTCCCAGCCTTGATGGGTAAAAACCCAAATGTTGTTCACCCTAAATTTCCACTGGCTTCATCCTGAAGTAACAAAATACTTGCATTCTTAGACTTCTCAGAGAATGTGTGTACAAAGCATAACAATTGCATTTCGGAGCGGAAAATCAAGGAACAGTCTGCCATTATTCTGAGCAAATAGTTTTCTCCTCTAGATTCTACAAACCGAGACTCCCTTGATATGATTGAACGAAGCCTGTGCTTAGTCTGCCTTGATAGTCCAGCTGGAGAAGAGCTGAATGACACCAACAGGGCTTTGCAGCTTCTCCATGGTGGTGGCTACTCTAGAAATGGTGCCAATCGCTGGTATGATAAGTCTACGCAGGTAAGTCCCCACAACCAGCAGAGGGGAACAGCACACACACAATGATTCCTGGCTGAATGGGGGGAGCCAATGAAGATCTTCTACAGATAGTCCTTGACTTACAACAGTGTGTTTAGTTACCATTCGAAATCACATTGAAAAAAATGACTCACAACCTTTTCCCCATGTTCTTTACATTCAGATGCTTGGCAACTGGTTAATATTTATGATAGCTGCAGTGTCCTGAGGTCACGGGATCCCCTTCTGACAAGCAGGGTCAACGGGGAAGTCAAAATCACTGAACAATCCTTTACTAACTTAACAACTGCAGTGATTCACTGAACAACAGTGGCAAGAAAGGTCATAAGAAGGGGCAAAATTCACTTAACAAATTTCTCACTTAACAACATTAAATCTGGGCCCAATTGTGGTCAGACATTGATGACTACCTGTGATCTGGCTACAATGTGGGACTCTCAAAGAAAAGAGCTTTAAGAAGCCGAAAATGGATCTGGGTCCAAATCTGCCTTCTGCAGGAGGTCTGTCTTCAACAAAGCCCACCTCTCTACTTCTATGACCCAACCAGACCGACTGTCTTTAAAGGCCTTCCCTTCCTTCCTTCCTTCCTTCCTTCCTTCCTTCCTTCCTTCCTTCCTTCCTTCCTTCCTTCCTTCCTTCCCAGAACAGTCTAGAAGTGATTGCTGGTTCATTGGAAGCAGATGGTTCTACAAGAGAAAATGAAGGAAACGTTGGAATTTATCCCGGGTTCTTTCTTCAACTTATCACTTGCTTCAAGTTGTCCAGCAATACATACTGTATTTTTCAGAGTATAAGACGCACCTTTTTCCTAAAAGAGGATGAAAATTTGGGTGTGTCTTATACAGTGAATGTAGCCCCACCCACCCACCATCCCCCACCCTTTGGCCTCTGCCTCCCAGCAATTTACCTCCTTTCAGCAAACGGGGAAAACAGGGAAAATGGGCCTTGCGGAGGTTACAATAAGCTATAGCAATCCTGCAGCCTGAAACAGCTGATGATCAGAGGGACACTTAAACTGAAAGTGAAACTTGCTGTTTGCTCCACAAGGCAAATTACTGGGAGGCAGAGGCAGATTTCTTTTTCTTGTGCTAATCGGGCTGTTTGCTGCAAGAAGGTAAGTCAATAACTATAAATGCCTATAGAATGTTCAAATTATTAGACTTATTTTTTAAAGACTGCTTAGTGCTTAACTGTGTAAAAAAAGCCTCTAAAAAAGTGCCCTCTACAGGGGGCGGCAGGAGAACGAGGTGCCTCATTTAGTCTGACTTTATGATCACTCGAGCAGAGCTAAGCAAGGGTTAAAAGCCGAAAAATTCCTTATGTAGATGTGGCACGTCGTCCTCCTGCCTCCTGTAGAGGGCATTTTTAGAGGCTTTTTAGAGGCTCTGGGAGCAGCTAGCTCAGTCTGACCTCAGAGCTCTTGCCTTTTTCCTTTTACATTTTTTTTCTTTTCATGATGGCAGGCAAGAACAGAGTTGAAATCCTCTCTGAAACAGCTGGAAAAGGTGCCAGTGTGGGGAGAAATTCAAAAAGTTTGATTGCATGCAGAGCCACATTGCCTTTTCAAACACACACACACACATACACACACACACACACACACACACACACAC